TATTAATTATACTATTTGCCCTAATTTTATTATAAGTTTCAATTTATCATAAAAATGGAATGGGAAAAAAAAAATGTAACTACCATTTTCTAAAACGATTAAACTTATTATTAAAATTTTACTATTTATAATAAAATTTATTATACAGACTCTAGACCAGGTCAGAGATCCAGAGATTCCTCCTCACCTCAATGACCTCGTTGCTCGGGCTATAGAGGCTGGGGTAACAGCTGCACTTCGGAATCAGCCTCAGGTACAGCCGGCACCTGTACCAGCACCAGTGGTTCAGACGGATTCTTGGGGAAAGGCTAGGAGCTCTTTCACAAAGGGGAGTCCACCTGTGTTCTCAGGCTCAACCGATGCGAGAGCAGCTCACCAGTGGAAACAGGCCATTGAGAAATTGATAGTATGGATGCGTAGAGCTCGCTACAAGCCTCGTTTCGCCTCAAACGGCACCTCAATCCAACAAAAGATGAAGGAGCAATCAACAATGGAAGTTGAAGTGAAAAGAAAAGAAAAAAGAAAAAAAGGAGAAGCCGAGAGCAGTCGGGAGAGAGAAAGAGCAGCAGAGACCAATTTTGGTCTCACAAATCACTTTTTAAGTGAGTGCAAAGAGTATGGAATAACAGTTTAGTCCTGTTTCTAAAAAGGAATATATATATTTTTTTTATTTACTTAGTTATTGTTGAGAGTCTTCAGACTATTTATTTATTTTGTTAATGTGTCTTATGTGATAGTAATTTGTAGTGGGTAATGATGCAATTAAGAAAAATAATGGATTAGAAAGGAAATGAAAAAAAAAAACGAAAAAAAAAAATAATAATAATAAAAAAATGGTCTATATATTTAAAATATATGAACCTGTGCTTTAGCTTTGGGTCAAAGGATTTATTTTATTTTATTTTATTATGAATTCATAGGCCATGTGATACCTGTGCACTATATATATATATATATACGTTTTAAGTGGACACGTGTCTAGTGGTTGGGTTACTTGGTAATGTGGTTGTGGTATGAAAAGTATGAAAATAAAAATAAGAATAAAAAAGAAACAAATAATATTATAATTTTTATCTGGTTAGGTAATGGTAATTAGACTCTTGGATATATTAGGTGGTCTCTTGTAGTTATGTACTTATTGGCTATAGCTTTTTATCCTGGTGTGGCATGTGGTTCGGAATAGGTTACATGAAAGAAGTCCTGTGTGATGTGTGTATTGAATTCCTTCGAAACAAATGTAATACCTTTATGGTAGTGGACTCGATGTACTTGCCAATCTATAAGATAAAAAAGAAAAAAGAAAAAGAGTAACAACAGTGTGGGAAACCAACCAAAGCAAACACATGACCTAGACTACTACTCTATGTGTTGTGCCTCCATATGGGTCTATGTATATATTTGACCTATGTTACATGGACTCTTCAAAAGTAGTGAAGTACCTGTATCGGGCACATAGTGCTCGCACATGGGTATGGGGATATGTGTCTTGACACTTTTGGGTAGACATATACTTAAAAAGCATATTCAATTATATTATATTATTACTTTAATTGAGTTAAATGCCTATATTGAACACTATAATAGAAAAAAAAAAACATTACTTTACACTAGAAAATAAAATAAATAATTAAATAAAATGAATATTTAGCCGTGCCCATGTGTCCTTATGTTTAGAGATATGACACGTCCGACGCATGAATACATACTCATGCCCGACACACATACCCGAGTCCAGGTCACATGGTATTTGACGCTGAGGGAAAGGAAACGAGAGAGAGAGAGAGAGAGAAATAAAACCTGGACTTCTCTTGTTTAATTTTCTCCCTAAATTTTGAAGATCTAGGAGTGGAATTTTGCAAGGAGCTCAAGAAATAAAGTTACTTTATTCGGCGTGCTCTACAATTTGATACTATTGGAATACCGATTCGTGGTTGGTTGATCTTCTAGGGTTTTGCTTTTCTTTGATTGAGGTAGGGGTATACTAACCCTAATAACCCATAATTATATGATTTGTCCCTCCTTGTATTAGTATTTTGATAGCATGTTTTATGTATGGTGGAAGGTTTTATTTATGTTCATATATTTGGTTGGGTCTCAATGTGGTTGAATTGTTTTAAAGTATGGTTATGTTGCGTTTTAATTTGGGTATTCGATATGTTGTTAGTTCTATACATCATGAATTGATACTGTTGACCAGTATATGGAGTTTTAAATGCTGATTTTTGTCATATTTGAGATTTAATGCATTCAAGGTCTTTGATAAAATGCTTCGTTGAGTGGTTCATGCTTGAAGTGGTTTTGGTTTACCTTCTTGATGTATTATTTAATAAAAGGGAAATAAGAAAACATGAATAGGGGCTGATTTTATATTCTGACACACTTGGTGATGAGTGCATGGAATTTGGTTTGAGTGCAATTGATTGGTTGACGGGGTTGTGCCGGAAAAGCAAGATAGGTATAAAAGGTGATTCATTTTGTGAGAGTTTTGGGTTTTTTCTTTCGGTATTAATTGAAAGGAGATTTGATCTTTGTTTTATAAAAATAGAGGTGTTATTTGCTCAGTTGATATATCACGTGATCATGCATAATATTTCATGGTATTACCGTATCCTCATTCATGTTACTTGGTTGTGACATCTCATATGTTATTGGCTTTGCCCCCCCCACCCAAAAAAAAAAAAAAAAAAAAAAAAGACAAATAAATAAACAGTTTTGCAGATAAAGGAGAGGACACCAGAATCAATTAGTTCCCTTGAAGTTTTGTTGCTCGCGTTTGGCTAGCTTGGAGTCTTTAATTTCGTTGCTTGTTATTGGCTATTTTTCGTACTTTGAAATAAAGGGAAGAACCATTACATGAGTTACCTGATTTGAGAACACGTAGTAGTTTAATTTCTTTTATTTGGAATTGTGGAATGAGATTATTTTAATTTGATATTTAATTTTTCGTTGGTAAATTTTGTTGGTTAACTTGACTGTGTGAACTGAGTATTATTTTAGTTAAATTGAAAAGTATCGCTCGGATACTATGATTTGTGTGACTACTGGCTTACTGTGAATTGGGTCCCAAACATTAATTTACTTATTTTATGTATATTAGTTATACTACCTATTTAGCTGACTAGTGTTCTCAGCATGTGGGCCACAAAAAACAAAAGAAATAAAAAATGGGTTCCTTGATTATTAGAATGAAGGTTATTAAGTTAAGGGTAGTGGTACATATTGTATGCATTTGTCCGAAACTTGATTTGTAATCGAACAAATATATATATGGGTAGGTGCACATCGCTCAATTGCTTTGGATACCTTGTGTGGGTACAAGTTCATTATATTGTGCACCAAAAGGAAAGGAAAAAAAAAAAAAATCAATAGCAGATTTTAATCTTAGAAACAATTTAGTAATAATTAATAAAACAGATTCTATAGTAGTGTAACAAGGTAAAGGAAGGAAGCAGTTTAACTTTAAGAGTGACTACGATAAGATTGATTTCAATTTCTTTTTCTTTAATCACAAACCAGGTTCTGGAAACCGGAGCGTGACAGTTTGTAGGAGAGAGAGTTACGAAGTACAAAGTAAAAGATATAAACTATTAAGCTAAAAAGGATAGACATGGAAAGGATTAGAAATAATAGTTAATAAAAGGTTTAATTGCAAAAAATAAAAAACCTGAACTATAGAACTTTTGCACACTACCCACCTGAACTATGATTTGCCCACCCTACACTATTGAAACTTTGCTACTAAGGCCAGAATCCTAAAAGGAGCTAACTAATTGGAAATTTTAAGACACAAAATAAAGCAGCAAAAACAAAATCACGTATATACCTCAACCCCAAATCATGTTGTTCCACTAAGAACAACATCCCCTCCAGCACTTACCATAAAACTCTCTCTCACAATTGTTGGAGGATTTAAATATTAAAGTTACACCCTCTCTAACAGCTTAAGTTTTTAGAGTTGATGGTGGTTAACATGGTATCAGAGTAGACAAGGTCCTGAATTCAAATCTAATTGTCACCTTGATATTTAAAAATCGAAACACATGTTGGACCAAAAAAGGTCACAAGTGAGGGAACGTGTTAAGAGGATTTAAATATTAAAGTTACTCCATCTCTAACAACTTAAGCTTTTAGATTAGATGGTGGTTAACAACTATCACTCTCTCTTGCTTTGCTATCTTTGTAACTCTTTTGTACTCTATCATGCTCTCTCTCTATCACCATAACACCATAGTTGACAAAGAGAGGGAATTAGCGACAATGATAGAGCTGGTGGAGGCAGTAGAGCCACAGGAGAGACAATGATGACGGTGATGATAGATGAGCTGATTGAGGATAAAAGAGAACCGGTGGAGTCAGAGATGATAGATTTGGATTGTTGTGATGACGGATTTGTGGTGGCAGTGGTTTTTTAGGGCTTATTTTCTTGAGATATCACTGACAGAGAAACTTAGAAAAGAACTATCCCAAATTAAGAACTAGCAAGTCAATAATGGAGACTCCATTCAACAAAAAATCACAATCTCAACCAATATTACGCTTTCTGATGTCTTCTTTAATCTAGGCAGGTGGCAATTTTCACAATTCAAACTACTATTCTCAGCCAAGCAATTTCGAAATGGTAAAGTTATCCATGTTCTTATCTACGAGCAATAAGGAAAGGTTTATCATGCATCATTGCCAAAAAAATTTCACAACTCTGTTCAAGAAATTGAGTGACTAACAAGTTACAAACAATAATGGTATATAATGCACATTATATCAATATTACAACAACCAAGTTAGCACTTTGAAGTTACTTCTACAATACCACTTAGTATTAAAAATAAAAAATAAAAAATTGAGGGGTCATTCAGAACTCATTATCTGTTGATTGCAAGAATCCATCAGTTAAAATGCACATTTATTATTAAAGCAATGACAAAATTGAGCTACAAATGTTAAACTACAAGAAACAAGAAGAAGGACGGGATAATTTTCAAAAGTTGAAGTGAAGAACTTACGAACTTCTAATGATAACACCTGGCCCTCATTGAGCAAAAACTACGTCAGACCGTAACACATACTTGACACCCTTAGTAACATTCCGGGCTTCATGCAGCATACACTTATCACCATGAATGTGGAGGAGAGCCATCCCTTCAGTAGGAGGAACCTAAAAATTCAAACCATTAGCACAGTGAATGATGCCCTTGCCACTACAAGCAACTTGTAAGAAGATTTAAAATTATCAAAAATGAAGTCGGAAAAAAGGTAACACTGCTAAAAGGAAAACAAAATAGTGGGGGGAGGGTTACCTCGGCCACAATACCATTTCTGGGACCATAGAAGACAGTCTCTCCTCCAACTAGAGTCTCAGAGGAAGAATCCTGTGGGTTGCTCAGGTCATTTTTAGATTTGGGTTTGACACCACCACTTAGGTATATTAACAAGGTATAATGGGTTCGCTTTCCCTCTCCAAGATCAACACTTTCATCAATATGCCGTCCAAAGCGTTGACTAACTTTGTACCTGAAAAGTAATAAACTTTATTGCTTTAGAAATTGTAACCAGGGACACAATTATTTAAACTATTTTTCGAAGTTTATAAATGCTGATAACAATTTAGAACATGTAAATCCACTAAATAAGCATTTAAAAGTAAGAAAATCATAATAATTGAGATGCTTTAAGAAGTTGAAATCCAAAGAGGTTCTGCATTAGAAAATTATGTTAGAATTGATACTAATGACTTATTCAGTCCGTAACAGATATGTAAGTCTTCCCATCCATGTGAGAAAAGGAGTAATGATTACAGAGCACAAACAAAGACAAAAATATTCAACTGACCTATACAATCTGATATTTGAATTCAGTCCGACAGCAACTTTCCCACGAATCTTAAAATCAGACAATAGTTTGTTAAGTCCAGATTCCCATATTGCCTCTGCAAGAACAGGATCGTTCACAGAAATTCGATCATTGTCTCTATATGCTTCGCCTTTTGTGGGGCCAAGACTCCCTTGGTGAACAAACCCAATAGATTCTGCAGCTTTGACGAATGCCTTTGATTCCGCAGACGTGAAAAAATTCTGCACCTGAATATCTTAAACAAAACAGAAACTAGTACTACCAGAAGAATCCAAAAAAAAAATCATTTGAAGAGAAATTATCTAGGATTCTAGGCTGTATCGTGTAAAATTCCATTAGGATTGCGTTGCATGACTAAGAAAAGAGAGAATGCATTATCTTACATTTGTAATTTATTAGTATACTCTATCAATAATACATTCCTCTGAATTTTGTTTAAAAATAATAATAAGAATAAGAATAACTCAGAACATGACAAAGTCACCTCCAAACCTTTCAGGGTCAAGCACACCAATCTTGTTTTGCTGTTAAGAGGTCAATTCTCAATATCTCATTCCAACTCTATTTCAAACCCCACTATCATCCTGTAAAAACTTGAACCAAAAAACTCTCCAACTGATGCAATTACTATTTTTCATTAATTATGGCAGAGCCATCTCAATTGATTTTTTCTCATCTTGTCCTCAATTCTTGTAATCTTTGCCTTCTCATAAACACAATCATAACTTTGTCCTTTTGGCTTTTTGTCTGTCCATTCATACATCTCATTATCTTCATATCATCTTTGCTGATTATACAATCATTTCCAACCACTTGAAATTATATTCCACAAAGCATGACGGATGTTATATCAAGTTCTTCCAAAAAGTTACCTTTCAATATGAAAGGCAAACAAATCAAACACAAAGCAGATCATCCACTATACTCTAATTCTATGGGCAACTAATAGTGCAAACAAGACGTCTGAGGCTCCGAGCCAAGTATTATGTTATTGAACCTAGTATTACAAAACTAAGATCACGTTCAATCTCAACTGAGCTAGGCCAAGCAATTTCAACTTGTCCTAAAAAACACTATATAAGCTCAAGCTTGACTTCATGTGGCTCACTCAACAAAACAAGAGAAGGAACAGAACCTAAATTGGAGTATTGGCAACCATTACATTCCGATTGCAATTGAACTAAGGCCACAGTTTTTCAACCTTTTTATATCCCATTTCCACAGGGCAAATGAAGTCAATATCGAATCCGGTCAGCTGCCATTCATTGACAAAAGCAAACGTAAGACGGAAACTTGAGCTACGCTCTTTTAACTAACGAACGAACCCAAGATGGAAAGTAGAGGTCAATGAGCTTTTTTTGAGCTAAGCCCATCAGCAAATTGTTTCTTTCACAACATTATAGCCTAAATCTCTAATTTCTAACACAACAACAATAACCCACAAGCAAATTTACTTTAGAAATCAGAATCTTGATGGAGCTTGGATTTAAAAACTCAGAGAATTCAAAGTGGGGATGATTGTAAATGCTTAATTCCATAACAATAATGGAAAATCAAGTAAAATTTCACCCATCAATATTTTGTGGATCAGAACGAAATTGAAGGAATCAAAAGTATACTAACATGGTTCGCACGAATTACTATATAGATTAATAAAAAAAATCAGCATAGAATTGAAGAGAGAGAATGAAATTGTAGGAAAGAAAACGTACAGTAAAGAGATCGGTGTCTTTGAGACTAGTGATGCGGAGATTAGGTTTTGGTTTGATCGATGGCCATTCTGTTCTTGCTTTTTTGGCATCTCCTTTCTTTCTATCGCCCATTTTTCTCTTCATCTGGTTGATTAACTTCGTTCTGTAATTTACCTATATATACGTAAAACTCTCGACTTTCATGTTTCGAGTTTAGGCAGCATTGGGCTGCATAGAGCATAAATTAAGGGGTACAAAATGCAACGTCAGCAAAACTGCTAGGGTGCACAAAAAACATCTGTTCAACCAATAAACCAAACCAAACTAGATCTTGATTTGATTTTTTTATAATTTGGTTTGGTTACTATTCCAAAAATATGATACTATTTATAAATAGTTTGGTGATTTGAAATTTTATAAGAATAAATCTAACCGAATTTAATTGTTTTATAAATTGTATATATATTTATATATTTTGTATTATATAAATATTAGAATAATAAGATTAGTCTTTTAACCAATCAACTATATATCATATTATATTATAAAAAATTATATTATATATAACATATATTTTTAATTTTACATATATATTAGATTGAATTATAAAAAATTTTAGAACCGAACCGAACCAAACCATCTTATCATGATTCCAAAACATCTTATCACGATTTAATTCGGTTCGGTTCCATTGGTTTCACGGTTCAATTTCATTTTTTTTATGAAACCGTTATAAACGGCTTGGTTACAAAATATTTCAAAATCAGTCAAATGCAAATCGTGTGCACCCCTAGCCACTATAAATATGGATAATGATTTAGAGTCTCACAATCTAACAATTTCAACTGATTTAGGTGAGTCAAAGCTCACATGAGCTCTCACCGACATAAAGTTAATGAGATGTGTTCAACAGTCAGACTCTCTATTTTTATTTTGAATAGAATCGAATTTGAAATGTGAGTTTGAATTATTTTTCACTACATGAAATTGGAACATTTAAATTAGAATTGGTGGAATTGAATGATTTAAATTTACAAAAAATTAAATTAAAATTTTCTTTAATTCTACCTATTCTAATTTTAAAGCTTTAATTTCATGTTGTTGAAGATAGCCTAAGATGTTTCTCTATTAATATCGTGTCAATCCGACCAATTCGTTAAACTAAATCGATCGTAGTTAGATATTGTTGACACCCATTTTTGGTAAATTTTGTATTGATGACGTGGCAGTAGAGAAGGGTGATATTCCACGTAGATTGAAGTTAAAATTGCATACAAAGATGGGAAGAGTATTTTGAATAAGTTGTGGATAAAGATCATTGTTTTAAGACTTATTTTTTGGTTAGTTTTAGTTGCATAATTATGTTATCTATAGGATTAGTTTATTTTGAATTAATAGTTAATTAAGTGATAGAGTTGTAATGCAAGTAAAATACTTGCATATAGGAGTTTGTTTTACGTAGTTTTATATAAATAATGCTATAGGCATGTTTTGTAAGGGGTCTAGCACCCTCAGAATCAATTAATTATTTTGTTTGCTTTCTCAAGCTCTGTCCCAAAATAGCATCCTTGTTATTTCTCTCTCTCCCTATCTTCTTATTCTAGTTCTCCCCCTTTCCTTCTATCTCTCCTTCTCTCTATATTCTTACTATATCTATTTTCCTCCCCTTTCTATTCTCTCAATCTTTTACTATAATTTTTCACTGTTAAAGTCCTTTTAACTAAGGTAATTCTGAACTCAAAGAGGAGTTTTTATTGTTCCATTTTTTCCTCGCAATCTCCTGAAAGTCAACTTTCTCAAAAGGACTATAGTTAACAATTTATACTTGAACCATTTATTTGGTTCTGGCACTCCCGGTTTACATCAATTTGAGATCGGCTCCAGTTAGTCGATTTTAGCGTCAACATTTTTGGCACGCCCGGTGGGACTCACTAGGTGAGTAAATTAATAGTAAAAATATGCAGTCGACTTCTTAACCAACTTATGAATATTCTGATCAATCATATCAGCCGATATACCAGTATTCTAACCAGTCATATGGTTGGCCAGACGATTATCGACATGTTCTAACAGTTGATTATCGACAGACGCCAGCAGCCGCTGATTATCGGCATGTTCCAACAGTCGATTATCGGCATGTTTCAACAACTGATTATCGGCAGACACCAACAGCAGTCGATTATTGTTATATTCCAGCAACTGATTATCGGCATGTTCCAATAGTTGATTATCGACATGTTCCAGCAACTGATTATCGGCATGTTCCAACAGTTGATTTTTGGCATGTTCCAGCAGTCGATTATCGGCAGATACCAAAAACCGCTGATTATCGGTAGACGCCAATAACCACTGATTATCGGCATCTTCTAGCAGCTGATTATCAGCATCTTCTAGCAGCCGATTATCGGAATCTTCCAACAGCCGATTATCGACATCTTCCAATAGCTTATTATCGGTAGGTGGTAAATCAACAAGTGGGAGAAATAAGATCCCAACTAAATCTCCAAATGGGAAAATTTAAAGAGGCACTTACCGATTATCGGCAGGTGGTAAATCAACAAATGGGAGAAATAAGATCCCAACTAAATCTCCAAATGGGAGAATTTAATGAGGTATTCGCCAATTATCGGCAGGAGAATCAGAAGATTAAAGCAATGATGGCTCATGCTTTAGCCCTAATTCAGGCCGAGGTAGTTCAACAAGGTCCACCAGCACTACCAGCGGCTGCCGGGGGGCATGTGATTGCAAACCCCCAACAAAAGTTAGTTGATTCATACCCTCTACTTCACCTTGCCGATTATAGTAAGGTCATGTTTGCCGATCAATGGACTTTTGGGCATAATGCAGTCATGCCGATTGAGCTGAAGGTAAAATCAGCTAAAAGACAATCAGCTGAAATGAAATCGGCTGGAAGGAAATCAGCTAAGACAACTCTTTGTTGGCACAATGTGATTCATCTAGTAGAGATAATAGGCAGATCGGTTAGAATGACGATTCATAATAATTTAATTCATGCCGATCATGATCATGATTTGCTAGCGGAGTTAGAAAACGCATGGTGGGCAAGTCCTTCCCTGGGTTTCTGGGCAAGTGATATCGGCAAACTTTCTAAGAATCTAGGAAGAAGCCTAAATCGGCAGATTTGGCTAAATAAAGATCATCTTAGGGGTGATTCAGAAGAAATAAAGTTTTGGAGCTCACTGATTTGCAATCTTATTCCAATTGATTAACTCAAAATTTCCTTCCAATGTATTTTAAAATTTCAAATATCTTATCGGCTTGGGCGGCCGACAGCCGATAAGACATTTAAAATAGGGGGCATTGTTGACACCCATTTTGGTAAATTTTGTATTGATGACGTGGCAGTAGAAAAGGGTGATATTCCACGTAGATTGAAGTTGAAATTGCATGCAAAGATGGGAAGAGTATTTTGAATAAGTAGTGGATAAAGATCATTGTTTTAAGACTTGTCTTTTGGTTAGTTTTAATTGCATAATTATGTTATCTATAGGATAAGTTTATTTTGAATTAATAGTTGATTAAGTGATAGAGTTGTAATGCAAGTAAAATACTTGCATATAGGAGTTTGTTTTACGTAGTTTTTTTATAAATAATGCTATAAGCATGCTTTGTAAGGGATCCAGCACCTTCAGAATCAATTTATTATTTTGTTTGTTTGCTTAAGCGCTTTCCCAAAATAGCATCCTTGCTATTTCTCTCCCCCCCCCCCCCATCTTCTTATTCTAGTTCTCCCTCTTTCCTTCTATCTCTCATTCTCTCTGTATTCTTACTATATCTATTTTCCTCCCCTTTCTATTTTCTCAATCTTTTACTATAATTTTTCACTGTTAAAGTCCTTTTAACTAAGACAATTCTGAATTCAAAGAAGAGTTTTTATTGTTCCCTTTTCTCCTCGCAATCACCTAAAAGTCAACTTTCTCAAATGGACTATAGTTGACAATTTATACTTGAACCATTTATTTGGTTCTGGCACGCTCGGTTTACATCAATTTGAGATCGGCTCCAGTTAGCCGATTTTAACGTCAACAGATATTGGCATGATTTAACTTATTCAATGAACCATGTTATGTTAGTAGAATCGGAAGTAAATTTGTTGCAACTCATTTACGAGTATGTTTAAAATAATTATGGTATCATATTGAAATTTAGAGTTAATTTCGTGATTTATTGCAATAAAATGGAATGTTTAGTCAATTTATAATTTTTAATTCCATATTTTAATTTCTTTGATCATATTTGCATTTTAAAAAAAGTATGAACTAAACTATTGACTAATACAAGTTAATAAAATTGTTATTGTTCACGGTAGGAGCAATAATATTTATGTTTTAAGTGATTGAGTTAATATTAAACCGATTGTGTTCTTATGGAACTAATAAAAGTTGCTCATGGGCATTTATTTAGAGCCATCATCTAGTAGGGGCTCTGTCCAAATTTAACATTTGAAATTATCAACAAATGTTGATTGTTCGAGGTTCAAAACTTGTTTTTCTTATCCATATACTCTCTTCCTTCAAAATAAGTGTTTTATCTTTTCTTTTCTGTACTCTTTGTCAAAATGATTTTTTATCTTAAATTATCCTTATATTTTTCATTTGTTTATTAGATTATTAGTTTCAATCTTTGTATTTTTTAAAAGTGTTGTTTAAAAACCCAATTCAGTATTTAATTCTAAATAAATATAATATTTATTCAATCAAACATGTTTGATAACATAATATGATGCCACTTAAAAGAATTAGTGCCACTTATGGAATAAAATTTTAAGTAAAGACTTATCACTAATCGCTTAAAATTTAAAAATAAAATTTTTGACATAATTTCCATTTCATGATTGACACTTAAAATTACAACACTTCAAAAATGAAAATCATAAGTTGACTACCCTTTTATTATCGTGATGTAGCGTATTTAATTTGGCCAATTTTAGGTTTGAAGTTGATTTTAACGTGTTAGATTAAATTATGTTTCGTGCATTTTGCCTTTTGAAATTTGTGAATCAAATAAATGTGTTGTGTGTGAATTGCGTTATTCCGAATGATTGTAGAATAAAACTCTAGAAAAATACTTAGAGAGGTTGAATAGCTTTTAACTTGTCATTTTGTTTAATTTTTGCTTATTTTAATTTACCGAAATAAAACTAAAATAATAACTAATAAAGTAAAAATAAAGTGCAAGTAAAGTAAAAGAGAGTTAGAGATTAACACCAGGAT